TGAAAACTCCCTTCTTCATCTTGAACTGGTAAAACCTCTTCTTCAAGTGAAAAAGATTCTCAATGCTCTTAGTAAGATACTTTTCATTGAGTGTTTCCCACATCTTCTTCGCCGACGTCTCGTTCACCACATCATAAATAAGATCCGACGTCAAGCATGACTGAATAATTCCACAAGTCCTACTATTCATCTTCTTCCAAATCTTTTCTTCCATATCATCAGGTTTCTCTTGCAACTCAAGAGTCTCATCTAAGTTTTGAGCGTCAAACGCATCCATCACCTGGCATCTCCACAAACCGAAATTGATCTTGCCATCAAACTTCGGAACATCGATCTTCATGTTATTGATGCTCAAACTATGTATCGTCTTCGTAAGAAACGACCCCGATGTGCTTGTTTCACCCATGTTGTAGATCTAACTCTTCAAATAAGAATCCAACAGCGAATCCTTCGAACAAGATCACAAGTCCAACCCGGAGCTCTGATACCATTTGTTGTGCACAGTGATAATTTCGACAGCACTTTGGCAACACAACAAGAGAGTTAGATCCAAATAGAAATTCTCGTCTCACCAAGGAAACAAGAATGATCTGAGGGAGAAACATTAATTTGTATTAAAGAATGTAGAGCACAAAAAACATCTTAAGGACACTGTAGATTATGTGTTGTGGTTCCATTTTAGTAATCCTACTCTCAAGAGAGGCATTTGGATGCTGACTAGGCCAATGATCAAAATAGTCAAAGCACATGATTGTGTGTCCTTCCTTTATGTCTATTGTGTGTATAATTTTTCTAAAAACATGTCATAGTTATGATGTTTTTCATGCACATGATTGCGTGTCCTTCCTTTGTGTCTACCGTGTGTATTTTTTTTTCTAAAAACATGATTGCATGTCCTTCCTTTATTGAAATTTTACAACCGTGCATGAAATGAGATGTCTTTGCGCCCATATTATTATGATGTTTTTCTTTTTGATTTGTAATTTCTTAACTATATATGCACGTTATTGTGTTGTTTTTCTCTTTGATTGTGTGTCCTTCCCCTATGTCTACTGTACTATTGTGTGCATAATTTTTCTAAGAATATGTCATAGCTATGAGACTATCTAGATGGTTACTGAAATTTTACAATCATGTGCATGAAATGAGTTGTCTTTGCGACCATGTTATTATGTTGTGTTTCTCTTTAATCTGTAATTTCTTAATTATGCATGTTATTATGTTGATTTTCTCTTTGATTGTGTGTCCTTCCTTTATGTCTATTGTGTGTATAATTTTTCTAAAAACATGTCAACATCTTTGAGATTATCTAGATGGTTATTGAAATTTTACATTCATGTGCATGAAATGAGTTGTCTTTGTGCCCATGTTATTATGTTGTTTTTCTCTTTGATCTGTAATTTCTTAACTATGCATAGAATTTAATATTGATTATAAACATTTAAAACGCCATCAACACTGATAGGTTTTTTTTAATTACAGATAGGAATAGTTTTCTCATACGAGTAATTCTTGTTTAGAGAATCAATTGTATAATAAAAATATCACATATTTTAAAAATTATGTTATTGTTTTCCTAACGAAGAATTATACTTATTCTCTTTCCATTGAGAATTCCTTGATGGAAGGGATATTTTGAAGAGAAATATGAACTCAAATATGAACTCTGCAAAAATATCGTGTAAAAAATAGATAAAGCATCTAATGGTGTAACACATGCTCAAACAAGGTTGGCATATAGTGTGGCTAATTGTTCTGTATGGTTTGAACATGCTCCACCTCCTATTAGATATCTTTTAGCTTTTGATTTTAGCCATCACTCTTTTTAATGTTACTAGTATGGTGCACGTGCGTTGCACGTGTATTTAATTTTACGTTTAATTTTTGTGATGATACTTTTTGTGTATTTAATTTTACGTTTAATTTTTGTGATGATACTTTTTGTGTGTGTGAACTATCCTTTGAAATGATCATCATGAGTAATTTCATGTGTGTGTGAACTATCCTTTGAAATGATCATCATGAGTAATTTCAGAAAACTCAAATACAAAAAAGCATCAATCATTTGATGTTTGCTAAGAAATTTTTTTAGGGATAGCAAGTTTAATGGATAATCATGATGATCATTTAAAGATATATAATCACGTTGCACGTGGACATAAGTATGAAAGTAATTTTTATATAAAAAAAAAGCTTTTATGTGTGTTGCATGTGAATTGGAAGTCTAATACATTAAACTTATTATCGCAAGTAATGTCTATTAGCACATGTTTAAATAAGTATATAATCACATGTTTAAATAATTATATAATCAGCAAAGATTACTACATCCACCATCAAAATCTAAGCTTTTATGTGTGTTGCATGTGAATTGGAAGGCACTGGAAGTCTAATACATTAAACTTATTATCGCAATTAATGTCTATCAGCACATGTTTAAATAAGTAACCTACATACTATTCACTTAACTTATGTATGTAATCAGCAAAGATTATTCCATCCACCATCAAAATTTACCCGAACAACAACAATAATATCTCATTATATCATTTCATTCATTTTTTCATCTATATTTATTTTACTGGTTAGTTTTTTAATTACTCATTATTCATGAAGGATACGATGGACTAAATATTGAAAATTTCAAACTCAATCAAGTGCAAATTTTTGACTAACTTTAGTTGTCAAGATTCACTTAAAAATAATGAGAAAAAATATTTATTATGGAGAATGTGCTATATATATATATAGTTTACATGACCCAAAAAAATAAGGAAAAATAAAGTTCTATCATATATATTTCAACGTTTTCTTTGTTTAGTATATTAATTTATAACATACCAATCATTAAATATCACACACCATGTTAAAATTTTACAAAATGGATTTTCAAGTAATATATAGTTAGTGGAACGCTTGCAATCTCTTATTAAGAAAATGAGTTAATAATGTAAATGAATTTGTAAGTCAAGTGTTTTTAATCCCATCATTCCTACATTGGGATTTTAGGATACATCAAAAAGGCATTTGACATATATCTACATTGCACACATTCAACCAAGTATATGCATTCCATACAGATATTCCTATATATATAATTTTCACATTGTTGTCAATAAATAGTTATTTACTGCTTTCATGTTACTTGACATTAAGAACTATTATGTGAATTTACTTTGTGCCCGATAAACTCCAAATTACACCACAAACTTCCATAAATTACACATAATAGAAAAGCAATTTCTACAAATTTATAAACCTCAAAATCAATACTCCTTGCTCCTGAACAATAGCATGCGCCTCTGGATTAAAAATAAATAATTTAATACTAAGCTCCGAAAGAGTAAAGTATCAATGAAATACATCGAGAAATTTATCATGACATTTAATCCGTGGTGTCTTGGAGCAATTAGAGGTCTTGGAAGTGGACTCCGCCTTTTGTTATTTTTAAATCTAGAAACCATTAGCCACATAAGAATAAAAAATTAGTAATACTATTTATATAAGTGTTAATGTATCGAGAAACTCGTCTGGAGATAAAATATGGATGAAAATAAAATATGAACTATGGAAAATGTAATCACGAAGCTCCCAACTTGAAATATTAGTAGTAAAAGAAAATTGGATATTTATTTAACGTCAAATAAACTAACGTAATTGGATACTAATGGTCACTCATTTAAAAAAAAAAATTATATAACTAACAAAAACCATTGAAAATTGGATAATGAACATCGATCTCTCCTTCTCTCCCTCAACCTTCACAAGTGCATCTTAATAGAAAATCATGTAGTTACCTTTTTACTATCTACATGTTTTTACGTAATCATCTAACACTATTTTTGAAAGCTATAAGTAAATTATAATAATAGTATAAACTATGATTACCTTTTTACTAACATGTGATGATTGTCTTTTCTTCTCTTCCTCAACCTTTTTCTCCAAGTTCTATTTTCTATTTGATGCCGGATATGTTTTACTGAGGAAATTAGGTCAATTTATAGGAATCACATGACCTTTAAATTCTAAACTAAAATTTTCATTTGTAATCATGCATCATTGATAGGTGTAAATGAGTGTAACGGTAGTGGAAATAATTTTCAAAATAATAAATGTATGTCCTCAATTTTTTATAAGTGAAGAACGAAAAGGCTAGAGACAATTTGTACCTTTATCCTAATGATGACATTAATATTGGATTAGTGGAGGGGTTACAAAAATTAGAAGTTAATATTAGTGGACAATTAATAGGAGAGTTATGACATTATTAGAATGTATGCATATATATGAATGTGTTTATATGTATGTATGCATGTGTTTTATGTATGTATGTATGCGGTTTGGAGGGCATTTTTGGAAGAAATGTTTTAACATGCCAATCCACTTTTATAATAGTATTAGATTTATTTTCCATTGAAAAAAGACAAAATATGTTCACAATTTATGTATACTTTTCCTACACCATACAAAACTTTAGGATATATTTCGTGCGTTAACAGCCCGTTACTTTTTTAAGTCTTTAACAACCTTATCTAGTCCCAGATATATTTAAAAAAAGTTCGGCCCAAGTTGCTAATTTGTCTTTCTTAGACCGCCCCCAAAATTGAAAGGCACCGGTCTAATTAGAAGGAAAATAACGGGTCAGATTCGGACAAGCCCAGCCCGTTTAAATTTTTATAGGATCGCTTTGTCGTCACACGCTTTACGCGTGGCGTTCAGGCAGCGCGTTATCGGGCGCAACTCTCCTACATATAAGAGCATCTCCAATAATGATCTTAGATTTTCTTTATATTTGAGGAGCAAATCTCTCATCCTAGGAAATAGGAAGCCAAATAATGAGTAAGTGCTCCAACAATGCTCCCCAAATGGTTCCTATCTCATGTCCTAGACTAAATATAGGGAATAGGAGGGGAAAAAAATTACTCCAACAATGGTCCTTATGTTGAGACTAAATATAAGAAGTCATTTCTTACCTTTGATTTGGAATACCAAATCACAAGCCCAATATTTAGTCTTCGTTATAGGGAGCTTGTTGGAACCAAACTTTCCCGTCATACTCCCTAAATTTACTCAAGGATATGAGATAGGGAGGCTCGATGCTCTAAGTCGCCTGAACGATTGCCTCCTCATTTTCAAATCACACAGCTCTTGAACGTTGGATGAGGTGCAATTAGGATTTAGTTTTCTCACTTTTAGGGTTTTTCTTTGATCGCATATTGGGGTTAGGGTAGTAATGATTTGATCCGTTGATTATGGCAACAAGATTTGGAGATTTGGACAACGTAGCGGCAGTTGTCAGTGTTTTTTTTTTTTTGGGTGGTGGTGGTGGTTGTTTTTGTTGATGATGAAAAAATAGTCAGCGAGTTATTTTCCTTTCTTGCTTGATTATTTGGGGAAATTGATATGAAGAAAGTTTCTAAATAAACTCATTCCTAATTTTGTTCTCATCAATTTGAGGGTTTTATTTTCGACAGCAGGCTGCAATTTGGGAAGGAATGATTCATTTCTTATGGTGCTGTGGGAGTAGAATCTTCGTCTTTGAGCAATTTACAATTTTGTATTGTTTGTTGATTTACTCCAATTATGAGCTGGATATGATTTTCTATGGAGTCTGGTGTTGCTGTCCAGCCTGTCCTATTAAAAAGGTTATTTATTTTCCTCCCCTTAAGTCTTAATTATGGATTTTTGTTAGTTGGATACTTGTTCTGCATGTATTTCTAATTCCTTTTTCTTGATTATTTCACCATGCCATCACCATTTCTTTCATTCAAAATGTTGAATTGTTGCAGTACTTTATGACCTCAAAAATTTTATGTGGACCTAGGATTGAGTCCTCATCGTGGAATTGCAATGTATTTGTTCCCAAATCAATTCTTTTTGTTTCTATTTTTGGTTTTATTTCTTATATATCTCCTCTGAAATTAAGGTGTAAATCTCTGTTACAAATTAAATAATATGCAAAAATGCATTAACTAAACTTCTGTGCGCCAACAGTACAGAATCACATAGTGTAAGTATGTATTGTTGTTTTGTCCAATCAGTATTGATTGTGTGGTTTCAATGACATGTTTGAATGATGCTTCTTATACTTCACCTGTTAGTTAAGTGGAGTTGTTGTGTTTGATAGTGTTTTTTAAATTGTACTATGTTGATAATATTTGATCTTTATTCCTCTCCCCTATTTCATGCTTTCAGGTTTCTTGAGGAAGAAAATTGTGTTATCGTTGCGTTGGAAGGCTACAACCACAAGCTGCTAGAGTTAACAAAACCAAACAGCAACATTTTGGTATAGTTTCGGATTATATGCTCAACCTTGAAATTCAATCGGTAAGAGATGCTTCTTATACTTCACCAGTTAGTTTAGTGGAGTTGTTGTGTTTGATAGTGTTTTTTAAATTGTACTATGTTGATAATATTTGATCTTTATTCCTCTCCCCTATTTCATGCTTTCAGGTTTCTTGAGGAAGAAAATTGTGTTATCGTTGCGTTGGAAGGCTACAACCACAAGCTGCTAGAGTTAACAAAACCAAACAGCAACATTTTAACTTAATTTTAAGGTTTTAGCAGAAAACCCCCCGAAGGGCGTAAACCACAATACTCACCGGTGAAATATCAGCCTGTGTAATTTTGCCCCATAAAAACCCATAATTTTAAGGTTTTAGCAGAAAATCCTCCAAAGGGCATAAACCACAATACTCACCGGTGAAATATCAGCATGTGTAATTTTACCCACCCATGTGAAAATTGTGCTTAATGCTGTTTGGTGGGTTCCCTGATAAAATCTTAGAACTAAAGGAGGTTTTAACCCTAATTTGAGGGGGGTTCCTAATATTTTGAAAGTTATGGTGGGTTATATGATAATCGTCCAAGGTTAGGGGGTTTCTGATATTTTGTCATGTCTTTTTTGTACTCTTTACTGATATAAGACAGATTGTTCTTATCTATTCCATGTTGTTTGATTTCTGTGTTGCAGATGATTTGCTATGCAGTTTGGTGGTGTTGTCTTCTGAAAGAAGGTTAATTATTTCCCTCCCTTTTTTATTTAACGGATTTGGACATTTGATATCATTCTGTTTGTGTTTCACATTTCTAATTTCCAATTTTTGTTCATTTCTTTATGACATTAACATTTTTTTCTTTCCAATCACTGAATTGTAGTACTTGATGACCTGTAGCAGTCTCGTGCTTTGTTTTTCTAATACGACTTGGGGGAAGTCCTTGTCACGGAATTGCAATAGTTGTGTTCCCTTGATCAACTTTTTTGTATCTGTTTTCAGGCTTATTTCTTATATAATTTCATTCCAAATAAAGGCGCAACTCTCTGTTACGAGTTACACAGTTTGTAAAATGCCTAGACTAAAGTTCTGCTCCTATAGTACAGTAGCACATAATGTAAAATTGTGGTTTTGTCCAATCAATACTGATTACTTAGTTTCAATAACATGTTTGAATGATGCCTTTTATACTTCACCTATTATTTTAATGGGGTCGTTGTGTTTGATAGTGTTTCTCAAACTATACCAGGTTCATAATATTTGATCTTGATTCCTCTTTCCTATTTCATACTTTCAGGCTTCCTTTTGGAGGAAGAAACTTGGAGTATTATTTCATCAGAAATCTACAAGCTGTTCTAGTTATCAAAACCAAGCTATGGAAATGTTTGTATGGTTTGGGATTTATATTTCATGCTGTTCAACCTTGAAATTTAATTAGTAAGTGATGCATGTTTTGAAATCTGTCTTTTTGGTATACTTTACTGATATAAGAGAAATTATTGTTCTCTATTCCTTCTTGTTTGATTTCTGTGCTGCAGATGATTTGCTATGTAGTCTGGTGTTGCTATCTTCTGAAAGATGGTTAATTATTCTACCCCTTTGTTTTTTATTTTGGACATTTGATATTTATTTTGTTTGTGTTTCAGATTTCTAATTTCTGGTTCTTGTCCATTTCTCTATGCCATTACCATTCTTTCTAACTAGCACATTAAGTTATATGATAGTCTTATATTTCATATATTAGTTTGATAATGATTTAATTTATCCAATTTTATTATGGACCTCTACATATAAAATGTAGAACAATTTTTCAAAATAGGCCGATTTAGTTTTTTATTTTTCAAAATCGACCGTTTTTTTTAATTTATCAAAATCGACCCGGTTTTGTGATTAGCAGGCTAATCACTATCCTAAATAGTCGGGGTTGCCAACCCCGACTAATTAGGACATTAATTTTTAGGGTTTAAAGCCTTTAATTAGGGTTTAACACCCTCCTAAATAGTCGGGGTTGGTAACCCCGACTATTTAGGATAGTGATTAACCTGCTGATCACAAAACCGGGTCGATTTTGATAAATAAAAAAAACAGTCGATTTTGAAAAATAAATAGCTAAATCGGCCTGTTTTGAAAAATTATTCATAAAATGTAGCTTAAACTGTTATGTAGCAATTAAATTTATCCTTAACACAAATTTGTTGAGTAGTTTCTTAATTGAGGATATATAATTAGAGTAAGTGATTAAAAAATAGGGATATTGCAATTTAATTATGTGTGTATTATCATTTCATGATTTAGAATGTTCTAGAAATAAGTAAGGAAAAAAGGAAAATAAAAGAAAGAAAAGAAATGTTTCTCTTGAGAACTTACAATCTTAATTATATGAGTTCATATTTTATTCTCATGGTATGATTTAGAATCTTCTAGAAGGAACAATGAAAATAAATGAAAGGAAAAAAAAAATCTCTCTTGTGAAATTACCATTTTACCCTCAAATTATATATCCTGGAATGCAAACTTTTTCCAGATTAATTATTTTGTTTCTATTTTCTGCCTTTTTTATTGTACGTTTCCTTCCCAGATAAAGCTGCAACTTGTACAAGCTATATTATATGCAAAATACCTAAGCTAATCTTTTGTGCTCCTACAGTACAGTAGCACTTAATGTGTAAGTGTGTAGTGTGGTTGTGTCCAATCAATATGATTACTTAGCTTTAATAATATATTTGAATGATGCTTCTTATACTTCACCTATTATTTTAATGGAATTAGTGTGTGTGATAGTGTTTCTTACAATATACTGAGTTCATAACATTTGATCTTGATTCCTCTTCCCTATTTCATACTTTCAGGTTTTATTTTGAAATAAGGAAGTTCGGAATATTATTGTGCACAGCCACAAGCTCTTCTAGTTAACAAAACCAAGCTGTGGACATGATTGTATAGATGTTGCTCAACCTTGAAATGCAATCAGTGATTCATGCATGTTCTAAAGCTTTGTCTTTTCCGTATTCTTTATTGATATAAAAGAAATGATTCTGGTGTATGCCTTCCTTTCTGATTCAAGCCAATGATGAGTGAATCCTGATTTTCATTTTTTTATGATTATAAATTTTTCTGAATTTACTTTTTGATCAGTCTTTCATTTTGTCCTATTTATATGGTGTATTATTTCATAGGACCTTAAGTTTTCAGGAGTATAATGGTGTTATTATGTAAGAAATGTTAAAAGATTATTGGAGTATATGTGTCACTATTAAAGGAAAATTCAATTATATGAAAAGTATCAATTAGTTATAAAAAAAACTCTTCAAATAATCCGTTGTAAATGTGTGTGCATTCACACTATTATTGAATCTGACTATATCAAGTTTTATGTTGATAATCTGTGATATTTCATTAAGTTAGCTTGATATTGCATCAACCTTTACTGTGCAATTAACAGAGTCATGTTGAAATCTTTTAGATTTGTTTTGCTTTCCTTATTTGGGACCTGTCTGGGCTCTAATTAAAATTTTCTTTTAAAAAAATAGATAACATTAGTAGTTTTTTCCACTGTATTCTGATGGAACCTTATGGACTTCGTGCTGGATAGATACTTATTTCTAGTGCTGGAATAAAAGAGTTGAAAGTATGAGATCTGAGAAGAGTCAATTAAGATTCAACTTACTAGGTTTCATGCAATGAGTTACATGGAATGGTATTTTTTGAGTGTCCATTAGATTTCTGCATGATCTCAATTCTCAAATTATCTTTTTCATGTAAGTAATTTTATCAAAACCGTGTAGGCTCCTGCATCAATGCTTATTTCCGTAATATACTTATTTTCAATTAATATTCCATTTTTGGTTTTGCTCTACAGGTTTGCAGATTGCATGATTCCTTCTCTGTATAAACTTTTACAACTGTCAATAATACCTTCTGATGAGCAATAAGCCAAATTATTTTTACAGGTATGTCTTAAACTTTTTTATTTCAGATACGAACTTTTGGCTGCCAATCTATAGTGGATGAAGAAAAATGTTCAATTTAGTTTGCAACAAATAGCTGGCTGGTCATGATCAAATTTCTCTTGGTATCCATAGGCTTTAAGAAATAACAAAGAGCTGGCTGGTCATGATTAAATTTCACTTCATATCCATAAGCTTAGAACTGGAACAAGAAAAGCCCTTCAGAATCTAGCTTCTTTATTTATGTAACTAAGAATCCTATGAAGCATAATTTGAGTGCGATGAGATCATTCTGTCACATTTTTCTTCTTTATCAAATTTTGTTTCTTCATATGACGGAAGAATTCTAGAATGTAAGACAATTAATTGAAAACTTTGATAGATTAAATCTGTAACAAAATGCGAAGATTGTATTCGAAATATCATAGCAAATATTTGATCTCTCCATGCATTTTCCCCCTTCAATACAGGAGTGATCATCAGCACCGAAACATATATTAAGAAAGAGGACCTGACAAGCTGGTCTGCTCTCATTAAGTCAAGCATATTTATTGACAGTATTGGCGTAGGACAGGTTGTAAAGTGCTATCAGGTATTAGTTATCTTGGTGTGTTTCTTTTCACTTTCCATTGGTTTAATGATGCTTCTTTCATTTCTATCTTGTACCAGAGATTTACTTCTGATATGAACAACAGAAGCTGAAAATTGATTTGCACTGTTCTTTCTGAGAAAAAGTCTATGGGGCATTATTTGGGTTGTTTATGAGAATAAGAAGTTTAGCACAGTATTTGGAGAAATCAGTCTGACTGATTGGACGCTAACGTATATTATGCTATGACTAATGCTGTCACTAGAACAAGCAAGCCTTCTATCATTTTTGCTATATTGTTTCCTGATTTTACAATTAGCTTATTTTTGTCTAGTGTAAGACTTGAATCTTTAGAAGTGAAATCTAGCTATTATTGCAAAATTATGAAATCAGAAACACCAAGCCATGAAACCTAATCTAGTTGTTCTATAGAGACTATATTTTGTAAGATTTTATATTTTTCTTACGTAGATATGTTTGTTTGTTTTCTATAGTCATGTCTTCTGCTTTTCTTATCTGACGTGGAATATCGTGTATCAGATAGTGTAAGGAAAATGAAAAGGATAGAGCATGATCTTCTATTCCGCCCACTTAAAGTATAGGTGTCGCTATACTTAACAAAATGGCAGGTGATGGTGGCGATCAAGAGGTGACCAGGATTGGCTAGTCTCTCCCCAAGGAGACATGTGAGATTCATTAATGGAGAACTCTCCATTCAAAAGTCTCTCTCACAAATATTGCCTCCTCTTTTGCCACGTGGGCAAGAGTCGTCTCGGCCCATCTATTAGCAACAACACCCTTTCGCCGCTGCCTCTTCCAAACCCTTTGCATCCTTCCCTAAAAAAAACCTAACCCCACCTCCGCCGCCCCCAAACAATTCACATCCTTTACTGAACTCTTCAAACATTCCTCTATCTCTGAGCGAGAGAAAGATCTTCTTCCCCTCCCAGATCCTAAGGAGATTCTCTCCAACCAAGGTTGGACTATAGTGGTTTGCAAGAAGAAAGTCCCGAAATCTAGTTCTTTCTTGGAGGCTCCTCCACCCACTCATCCCAAAAGGTGTTATCTTTGTGGCAACCATAACCATATGGCGAGATCCTGCAGCCTGGGTACTTTCAAATGCTTCAGATGCAAGCAGCTAGGGCATACTTCTCGTGTCTTCATCTCTGCCCTTAGCCCTGCTCCATGCAGCCCCCCGCCAGCTACGATCCACATCACCCACACCTCTACCTTAGTCAAAGATAAAATACTCAAGCTTTCCGTTTTTGGCATCCTCTCCTTAAGGATGGGTTCTCCCTCCATTCCAGAGATTAAGAAAATGCTTGAGTATCGTTTTAACATCAAAGAATGAGATTTTCAGATCCTACGAGCATATGATAAAAAACTTCATTGAATTTCCCTCCATTGAGCTTTGGGATCAAGTTATCCTCATGGGGGGTACATTGACATGGGCTCCTTCGGTGGGACATTCCGCCGATGGACAGAAACTCAAGGTCTCCAAGTCTTACCAAAGTCAGAACTTTTCTGGATCAAACTTTTAGCCCCTTCATCTACGGGATAGAGATTTTATCTCTTCATTGCTCAAAGAGTTCGGGGAAGTCTTCGCTTGCTCCAACAACATTACGTATATGGAGGATATCGATACTTGCAAAGTACTCATCAAAGCCAAAGCTCCCAAAGACATCCCCAAATCTATCCCCTTTACATCTCCCCAATAAGCGAATGGCTCTTGGAAGGCAATTTTGCTATTTTGCTACATGGGAAACCCATAGCAGAAGAGGCCCTCAACTCCACCAGCAGCACCAAATTCCTCCTACATGAAGGCGATTCCTCCACCCAATTCTCTTAGAAGGACCTCATGCGATTATCGCTGGATTGGGACTCTGAGGTGCGTAGAACTATCTCATCTGACACTCCACTAGAGGAGCAGCCCTCATTGAAGCAGCCTTCGTATAACGACGTGAAGGTCATAAAGGTCATTGATCAGGTTTCAAATGCGACAAGAAAAGAGGCTCGTGAGAAGGAGCCTACCCCCTGTTTTCGTCGAAAGTTGATTTTGCTGTGGAATTCATTATATCTTTGTTTGATTACAACAAATTCAAAGAAATAGTCTTTTTATAAGACCTCTTTTACACAACAAAGAGAAAATTACAACTCTTGAGAAAATAACACAGAAGTTGTTTATCAAATCATGTTTTGTGGGACTTTGCCTGTGTCGGGAGCGCTTTAACTCGTGGACCGCCGAATCACAGATCGTGAAGGGGGCTTAATGATTCTTTCTTCGTTTATCGAAGTGAGAATTTGAAACGAAGATCTTATCAAAGTAAGATAGTCGTTCTTCTTAAGATCAAGTCAAAGCTCGAATCTCAAGGGAATCCAAGAACAATAGTGTCTGCTCTCTCTCTGCTCTAAATTGCTCAATAATGTGCTCGATCCTCGTCAGAAATGACCCTAGGGGGGTATTTGTAGCCTCTGGGGTATTATTTACAAAAACTCAACAAAATAACATGTTAAGGCGGCGAGCGAGACAGATTTTACTGTCTCGGGTTCCGAGACAGTAAACACTATCTCGGAAAACCCAACTGCACAGTGGTTTCTTCAGTAACTGCCTTCCCACGTCTCAAACTCCGTTATTTTGACAGTTATCCACGTGATTCTCGCCCATGATGTTTTCCATGTCCTTGGCAGTTAATGAACACGTGTACGGCAGTTATCAAGGTGGTTTTTTACCATTTCAACACTGTCTCGCTGGCGAGACAGTAAACACTGTCTCGCACAGCGAGACAGTAATCTCTTTGATTTTTTGGATGACTTCCTTTTGAGCTGTATTTGGATATCTTTCAGCATTTTTTGACGCCTACAGATACCCCCTCCAAAGGATTTCAGACTCATTCTTGTATAGAGGAGTCTGGGATACTTTGGATAAGATAGATTTTACTTACGATCTCTTCAATACTTGGTTGAGTAGATCGTGTAGAGGAATCCATAAAATGGCTTCGGCTCTTCATCCTTTAGCCTATTCAATTCTTTGTAGAATAGCTAATACTCTTTCAGTACTGCGTTTATCGTTCGACCGTTATCGAGATCTTGAATCGAAGTTGGTATCTCTTTGACTTTTATCACCAAATTGATACTTGTATGTCCCTCGAGAGTTCGTCAGGTTATCCTTAGGAATATTCAGAATAATATTCTCTAGAAACTGCCTGTCGAATGTAGGAAAACAGTTTAGACTCGTGTACCTATTGGAGTATTCTGGTCTCTTTTTTGTTGGTAGAGGTGAACCCGATAATGGAGAGAAAGAATTTTATATTCTATCTCCTGGTCTCTTGTTTGTTGGTAGAGATGAATCCGAAATCGGAGAGGAAGAATTTTATATTCTATCCCCTGGTCTCTTGTTTGTTGGTAGAGATGAACCCGAAATTGGAGAGGAAGAATTTTATATTCTATCTCCTAGGTGTAAAAGAAACTCAAAGTGGGATCTCCACTTAAAGAATCTGGACGGGTTTGAATAATCTTAACTGTCATAAGGTTTGATTATTTAACTGAAAGTGGACCTCTCGTTCATGGAATGAATCGAGAAGAGATTTTGTTTGTGGTCCTAACTGTAGTAAGGTTTGACCAAGTGGGAGTTTTGAGACGATCCTAACTGTTTAAAGGTTTGATCGTTCAATTTGTGAACGTCTCGTTTATGGAAGGAATCGAGAGGGGATTTTGGTTTTGGTCATAACTGTTTAAAGGTTTGACCAAATAGGGACTTGAGACGATCCTAACTGTTTAAAGGTTTGATCGTTCAATTTGTGGACCTTTCGTTCATGGAAGGAATCAAGAGGGGATTTTGGCTTTGGTCCTAACTGTTTAAAGGTTTGACCAAATAAGAATTCGAGACGATCCTAACTGTTTAAAGGTTTGACCAAATAGGGACTTGAGACGATCCTAACTGTTTAAAGGTTTGATCGTTCAATTTTTGGACCTCTCGTTCATGGAAGGAATCGAGATGGGATTTTGGTTTTGGTCCTAACTGTTTAAAGGTTTGACCATATGGGAGTTTGATACGACCCTAACTGTTTAAAGGTTTGACCGTTCAATTTGAGTAGACCTCTCGTTCATGGAAGGAATTGAGAGGGGATTTTGGCTTTGGTCCTAACTATTTAAAGGTCTGACCAAATAAGGGTTTGAGACGATCCTAACTGTTTAAAGGTTTGATCGTTCAATTTGAATGGACCTCTCGTTCATGGAAGGAATCGAGAGGGGATTTTGGCTTTGGTCCTAACTGTTTAAAGGTTTGACCAAATAGGGGTTTGTGAGGGAAGATTGATCTAAAGAGGTGATCGAATCTCATCTCAGCAAAAGAGTATTCGGAAATCACCGTAGGGATGTAGTGTTTATCACTTTGTTTGTAATGATCGGGTTATCCCTAAGAAAACTACATATAGAATTCTTACGAGAACTTCCCGTTACATGAACCATCCACCCCAGCTTTCTTCGCGAAACTGGGTCTAACATCATGTTGAGTTATATGACCGGGTTATCCTTAAGAATATTACATGTAAAAATTCTCCAGGAACTTCCCGTCAAGAGTAGGAAACAGTTTAGACTCATATACCTATTGGAGTATCGAGGAGCAGTTTATATTCGTATACTCTTTGGAGTGAGGGGAAACAGTTTATACTCGTGTACCCAATGGAGTTGGAGTCGTCTTTACTTGGCTTGTTTCGCCGTTATGACGCCGGAGTCAATTAAGGCTTGGATTTTGTTTTTTAGTCCAAAGCAAATCTCGGTGGGATGAAGAACTCTTCTGTGGTACGCACAGTAGTTTGGATCCGTAATCCTCTTGGCTCCCTCCTGATCTTTGATAGGTGATAGCTCAATTTTATCATTGGCGAGGAGGTATTTTAATATGGCTGGAGCTTCATCATTTTTGAAAGAATACTCCTTTTGAAACTTTGGATCGAGAGTCGCGTTCCCAGCGATTATAGATGTCGTCGGTCGGCTTCTCTCAGCTTTCTTTCTTTTAAGAAAGTGTTCAGCTTGTTCGCCACGTAGTTTTAACTCTTTCCAAGTTTTGGATGGTACGACCCCCAGGGCTTCCAGGACATCGATAGAGAGATTATTGTGGCATGTTTGCAGAATGAACTCCTCTGTAACAGGATCTCTGCAATTCATTGCCTTGTTACGGAAGCGCTTGACAAAATTGTCGACTGATTCTCTGTCTTTTTGCTTCTCATCTAAAAGGGTTCCTATTGATACTTCGGTGTCATCATCGAAGAAATTACTGAGGAACAAACTTTATATGTCATCCCAGCAATTGATGCTCCCTGGCTTGAGACGTCGGTATCAATCGAAGGCGGGCCCACAAAGGGTGCCAACGAATGACCGGACCATTAAAGCCTCA